TGCTTTCACAGATCCCCACTCTCTGATTTGCTCACCTTCCCAGTCACTCTTTCTTGGTCTCCTTTGCTGACTCTTCCTCCTTTTATTGGCCTCTAAAAATTAGGACATCCTGAGGTGCAATCTCTGAACATTTTCCCTTCTCTTCCTACCTTTATGCCAAGAGCTGTAGTTCAATACTTTAGCTTAACTACCATCTACCCCAGTGGTTCCCAGTGGGGGTGATTTTGCAGCCGCCCCCATCCAGAGACATTTAGCAATGTCCAAAGACATGTTTTTTTGTCACAGCTCGGAGCAGGTGCTGCTGTCAGCTAAGGGTAGAGGCCATGCTGCTGAACATCCTGAAATGCATAGGACAAAACAAAAATGCACTCCACAACCAAAATGCATCCAGCCCAAGTGTTAAGTGTCAAGGCTGCCAAACCTTGACCCACTCCTCTGAACTCAGGACTCATATGTCCAATTTCCTATTAACATCGTCATTAGGATTTTTAACAGATAGCTCAGACTTAATATGTCTCAAACTCCAGTTTGGATTCCCTCTGCCTCATCTCAGTTTCCCTAGAAACCAGAACCTGCGGGAGGCTTTATGCTTTAATACCAGGTGTGATCCCTGGGGAACTGATAGTAAGGGAAAAGAAAAATGAGGTAAAGAAGGACAGTGTGCAAATAGAAGGTGGTGAGTTACCAATCTTGCCACTGCTTCATGAGCCACAAAGAGATGTAGCCCTGTCACTAGGCCATGTGGTTGCTTGTCCCTGAAAAGAATAAAGGGAGAGGGAATTTATCTATAGGCTTCAACCTATCTCATATCTCCTCCTGGACAAACTCCCACTGGTCCATTGGGTAAATGCATCCACGTGGCTGTGTTGTTCACCTGGACTTTTTTGTGATCTCGAGGAATCCAGATTCCACTCATTGCAGTATGGTCGACTTCAGAAGCAGAACTCTGCTGCTCGCACAGAGCTGGCTGTTTCAGCAGCAGCTGAGGCAGTTCAAGCAGCCACAAGCAAGAAAAATGGAGAGACAGAGAGAATCTGAGGGGGGGGCAACTGCCTAAAACAGTAATAACCATGACACTCAAGATACCAAACTTTGAATAACTCATATTCTGGCTGTCCAATCCACTCCTTCAATAAATGATATCACCATCTACCTAGTTACTAAGGCTACAAACCTAGGAGACATTCCTGAAACATTTCTTTCCCCCATATGCCAAATCCTGCGATTTCTATTTTTAAGATGTAATCTATGCCAATCCCTTCTCATAAGCCTACCACTATCTTCCTTGTTTAAGCCATCATTGCCTGCACTACTTAATAACCTCCAACCTCATGCCTTGTTTCCAGTATCCAGAATAATCTTTAAAAATAGCAAATCATATTATATTACTTCATGGATCCAAGTCCTCCAATATCTTTTATTGCATTCAGAATAAAATAAAATATTCTTATAGCAGCCTAAGAGGCTCTGCATGATCTGGCTCCTGCCTACTTTTCTGACCTACCTTCTACAACATTCTGCTCTGATGAGTCCTTTCTAGCTACACTGGCCCTCCTTTGTCTCTCAAATATGCTAAGCTTGTGCTTGCCTTCGGACCTTTGCCCTGCTCTTACACCTATCATTCGGATCTCCCTATTCATTGCTCTCTCTCTTCAAGTTCTTTATTGAAATGTTACCTCTACAGAGAGGCCCTTCCTAGCCATGCAAATCTATATTTGTCAGTTTCTATCCCTTTTTAATTTTCTTTACCTAACATTAGAATATGTGGCTAATTTGTTCATTGTCTGTTTCTCCCACCAGAATATAAGGTATGTGAGGTCTGAGGCCTCCTGTGCCTTAGTTATTACTTAGTCATTACTGTGTCTCCTGTGCTATAATACTATGTCTGACACACAGCTGGTGCTGAGCAAATATTTGTTGAATGAATAAATGTCTTCAGACCCTTACCAATGGTGAGCTTGCATTAAAAATGAGGAGTTCCCAGATCAACTTTCTTCCAGTTCCTTAGAGGTCCAGTCCTGTCTAAACACATCTGTTTTGGATGTTGAAAACCTCCGGATCTTATTATGCTCCCTAATAAAGCCCCGAATTTAGGAACTTGGGATCCCACCCAGTCAGGGAATCAACCCTCTTCTGGTAAGGTAATAGCCAAATGCTGAGTAGGGGCAAGTGCATCCACATGAGGCTGGGGAGATGTTGGTCATAGGTCACAGAGATGTTTAAAGGAAGGGAGAGGAAGGCACAGGAGCAGGGTGGGGAAGTCCAGGACATGGTCAGAAAAGGTTTGTCAGGTCTAGTGGGGGTATTTTTGATACGGCTGTGACAACCGCAGCTGCCATTGCAGCAAGGAAAAACAAGGAATTTGACTAATTCAGCGCAGAGCTTTATATTCGTTTGTTTATTTGTTTGTTTATCAATAAAGCAGTCGTACAGAAAGGTAGAATTAGTGGGAAAGAAGATAAGTGTGGAAGGTGGGGAAAGGGCAGAGCTTTATATAGAAAAGAGGAGTTTAAGAGTACTCATTGTTTCTAAAAGGAAAGCTGGGTTCTATGATCTGGAGGAGTGGAGGGAACAAATACTTCTATTTTTCTGAAAGGAAGCCTGGAGCCTGAATCTGGGGGAAGGACTTAACTATTTCCGCACCCGGAATCACTGCACTGCCTGGGCAGCCCCGCCGAGGCCCCTGCTTTCTACTAGCCACAAAGGAGTGGGGAGTATGCAGTCACTGGCTTTGATTAAAGAGGTGGGTGTTGTAGGCAGCAGCAACAAGACTCCGGGTGGTGCGAAGGGGTGGTCCAACGCAGCGGGCGGACCAATCAGCGGCGACTCCGGACTCCGGCAGCCTCCTCCGAGACTCCGCGGCAGTTAAGTACTAGCAGTGCTAGCAGCAGGCTCCCGCGCCTTGGCGGCTCCGGTGCAGAGCCCAAGGGGGAACCGCTAGTGCCGCACTCGGTGCAGCACGGGAGCCCTGGCTCCTGCAGCCCTGCGTCTCTCTGTGCAGACATTTCTCGAAGAAGTTGCAAGCCTTTCAAGTGGCCTGTGGAGGCACTAGGCCGGGAAAAGGAGCAGAGGGAGGAGGAACAGAGATGGGAGGTGGGCAGAAGGCTTGCTTCTCAGATTAATCCCAATTAGCACCAAGTTGGCAGACAACCTCACAAACCCACGAAGGCTTTGGTTGTTGCCCATATTTCAGAATAGTCTGATCCTAAGAAACTTCCAACTCCCGTCGCGTAGGTCAAAGAGGGACAGACTATTAGCACCACCGCCTCGCAGTAACACTACGTAAAACGAACCCAGGTGATCCTCAGCTGCAGAGCTCTACCCAAAGTCCATATCTCTCCGAGTCCCAGGGGAGAGGCTGGGCAAGCTCTGCAAAGAGTCCCCTGCGGGAAGGGAGAGAAGGCACGCCGAACGTGGCGACCGAAGCGGATTATTGTGGGACTGCAAAAACGCACCCCCATCGGAGGAGTTTTGCCAGGAACACCACCCGCCTGCATTGCGTCGGACCTGACCATTCGAAATGGGAAATTCCCGGGAAGGTCGCGGCCAGGGACCGTGCGTGTGCGTGGGCTGTGGACCGTAGGGAAGTAGAACTGGTGGTCGGCTTTTCTGGTAGAAGGAAAAAACTGTACTGGCAAGGGTGGGAATCAAATACCAACCCCCTTTTGTGGAACCACCCCCTCATATTTCCCTCTACCTCTTCGTTCCTGCCCTCCCCCGCCCTCCCCAAACCCACGCCCGGGTGGGCCAATCGCAGCTCCGCATTCCAGGCGCTTTCTCAGGTTTCTGCTGATCTTGCAGCGCCCAGAAATGTACCGGGCGGACGGGCCACCGCACGCACCCGGCCCCACTCGGCGCTCCTAACAGCTCCCCGCGCGCCGCGCAGCCTTGGCGAGGTTCACACCGGGTTTCGAGGAGCGGAGGACACCCGAGAGCCATGTAGACCCACGCTTTTGCTCTCCCGCCTCCTTCGGGAACGAACCAAGGGCTCCCACAGTGTTCGGAGGGGGCGAGAGTGCTGTTTATCGTCATTGGCTTCAGAGCTTCGAAAGGGTGGCATTTTGCTTTTTCTCCCCGCATCCTCCGGAACTCCCTGCACCAGAGAGAGAGGACGGCGTCTCCAGGTTGCTGGCCACGGTGAGAAGGGAAATAGAGAATGGACATTTCCCTCGTAGTTGCTTAGAAAAGCGATCACCCAATTGAAGGGGCGTAGGACGAGGGGGCGAGGGCGGCGCACTTGCCCCGGCGCCTCTCGGAGGCTGCTGCGGCAGCTGCCGCGGCTCTCGCCCTGGTCCACTGCAAAAGCGACCTGCCGCATTCGACTCCTGCTCTCGGCCGACTCAGCACCGCCCCTGCACCAAGCCAGCGGGTCAGGTAAGGGGCTCCCAGCATCGGGCTGCAGAAGCGGGGAGTGGGGTGGGGGTGGAGCGATGGGCGGGGGTGTGCTGGGGGTGTGGGTTGCTGCCTGGGACCTGAAGCTCCCCCGGCGTCCCTCGGCGCTTTTCCGATCTCTAGTTTAACCAAGTTGTAAACAGATCGGCTGTTGGGCGTTGGGAAAAGTGGGATGGGAGAGCCTAAAACTTGGATTTCCGGGTGTCTGCCTGTACATGTGTCCAGCAAAAAGTCCAGTGCTTTCTAAAAAAGCTAGAAGTCTGTGGTGTTCGCTGTCTGTAGCTACGTCCCATCTGAATGCTTCTGATTTTCTACTCCCGTATCACTTTCTATTTCTCTGCAGCGTCCATCGATCGCCCTGGTGGGAGCTTAGAAGGCGGCGGGCGAAGAGGGGTAGGAGAGGCAGAGCCTAAGAGCAGCACAGAGGGTGTTAGGCGGGGGCTCCGAGCGGAGGGGAGGCCAGGGTGACCCCCGAAACCATGGCCCGGCCCTGTAGAACGGCTCTGCGTTAAGGCTCCCGAGGCCGGACGAAACCCCAACCCTCCCCCCCATTCCCAATCTTCGGCAAAAGAAGCTGCGCCCCGGGGCTGCAGGCGAGGGCTATTCCAAACTCGGCAAAGGTAGGGTGGAAGGGAAGGGAACCAGAAAGGATGTGGTAGATCTCCTGACCCGTTAGCTTAGAAGCCCCTTCCTCCCTGAGCGTGGGGGCGACTCGCACTCGGGTGGGAGGTGGAGCTCAAGTCCCCCCCCCCCCACCTCTCCTCTCTCCGTCCTTCCCACCGCCGGCCCTCTCCCAGTCTCTCACCCTTCCACCCGCTTCCACCATGACCGTGATGTCTGGGGAGAACGTGGACGAGGCGTCGGCTGCCCCGGGCCACCCCCAGGATGGCAGCTACCCGCGGCCTGCCGACCACGACGACCACGAGTGCTGCGAACGCGTGGTGATCAACATCTCCGGGCTGCGCTTCGAGACACAGCTCAAGACCCTGGCACAGTTCCCGAACACGCTGCTGGGCAACCCTAAGAAACGCATGCGCTACTTCGACCCGCTGAGGAACGAGTACTTCTTCGATCGCAACCGGCCCAGCTTCGACGCCATCCTCTACTACTACCAGTCGGGGGGCCGGCTGCGGAGGCCGGTCAACGTGCCCCTGGACATGTTCTCCGAGGAGATCAAATTTTACGAGCTGGGCGAGGAGGCCATGGAGAAGTTCAGGGAGGACGAGGGCTTCATCAAGGAGGAGGAGCGCCCCCTGCCCGAGAAGGAGTACCAGCGGCAGGTGTGGCTGCTCTTCGAGTACCCTGAGAGCTCCGGGCCCGCCCGAGTCATTGCCATTGTTTCGGTCATGGTCATCCTCATCTCCATCGTCATCTTTTGCCTGGAGACGCTACCGGAGCTGAAGGATGACAAGGACTTCACAGGCACCATTCACCGCATTGACAACACCACGGTTATCTACACTTCCAACATCTTCACGGACCCCTTCTTCATCGTGGAGACCCTGTGCATCATCTGGTTCTCCTTCGAGCTGGTGGTGCGCTTCTTTGCCTGCCCCAGCAAAACGGACTTCTTCAAAAACATCATGAACTTCATCGACATCGTGGCCATCATCCCCTATTTCATCACCCTGGGCACCGAGATAGCTGAGCAGGAGGGGAATCAGAAGGGCGAGCAGGCCACTTCGCTGGCCATCCTCAGGGTCATCCGGTTGGTAAGGGTTTTTAGAATCTTCAAACTCTCCCGCCACTCTAAGGGCCTCCAGATCTTGGGCCAGACCCTCAAAGCTAGTATGAGAGAGCTAGGGCTGCTCATCTTTTTCCTCTTTATTGGGGTCATTCTGTTTTCTAGTGCAGTGTACTTTGCCGAGGCGGAAGAAGCTGAGTCGCACTTCTCCAGTATCCCCGATGCTTTCTGGTGGGCGGTGGTGTCCATGACCACTGTAGGATACGGTGACATGTACCCTGTGACAATTGGAGGCAAGATCGTGGGCTCCTTGTGTGCCATCGCTGGTGTGCTGACAATTGCCCTGCCCGTACCTGTCATTGTGTCCAATTTCAACTATTTCTACCACCGAGAAACTGAGGGGGAAGAGCAGGCTCAGTTGCTCCACGTTAGCTCCCCTAATTTAGCCTCTGACAGTGACCTCAGTCGGCGCAGTTCTTCTACTCTCAGCAAATCTGAGTACATGGAGATCGAAGAGGATATGAATAATAGCATAGCCCATTATAGACAGGCCAATATCAGAACTGGCAATTGCACCACAGCCAACCAAAACTGCGTTAATAAGAGCAAACTACTGACCGATGTTTAAAAAGCCAAGCAAACAAAAAAGCCCCACTTAGCAGCTTGAAAGACTTAAAAACAAAACAAAAACCCTAGTGACCCACGTCACTCTTTGTTGATGCTTCACTAGTCTTCGAGTGCTCTATTTAACTGTCAATGCATTGTTGCATTGTGGATTTGGGGGTGGCCAACCAGAAGCTTTCAAGATCCATGAAAATAAAAAGAATCTATTTTCATTTTATTAAAAATGGATAAAGAAAGTGTATTTTATAAAATTGGTTTAAAAATGCAGTCCCTGAGCTAGTCTAGGTAAACTAAGATTCATATGCTTCCCCCTACTGAAACATTTGTAATCCTTGGACTTCTTTAACTTTTTTCTTTGAACTAAAAGTTGCATGGGACTCCAAAATAAACTCTTTGCAAACTGCACAGCACATTTAAGACAGTGCATCTGATGATATGCAACATGATATGCCAGCCAAAATGGGCAGTGAGCAAATGTTTTTCATTTTGATCAACTGAACTGCATATTATAAGGTGGAAAAAAAAGGCAAACAGCATTACTTAAGACTGGCTCACAAAGCACCTTATCAGATGCCAGTCCTGCTCTTTAGGGATTCTCCCTCAGTCCCATTCTCCTTCTATTCAAACTGTTCTCTAAGAAAATGATACTGAATTAAATTAATGGATTCATCTGCAGTGCTGCTAAGTTTCTCAACTGCAGGTGAGCCCAACACAGGTCTTTTCTCACGGGTCCTGTACCCTGCCTGACCCCTGGCCTCCAGAACTGGATGTAAAACCTTAGCCTCCTTATTGCAAGAGAGCACAAATGGAGTTAAATGTAAGCATGTTCGATTCTGATAATAATTTATTTTATAAACGCATGCTGAGAACATTAACTCAGACAATAGGGGATAAGCTTATGTTTGAATTAACTCTTCTAAAAAACAGATCCTTTTCATTTGCATTCACCAAAAGTGCACTCCTTTATTTATTAACTATTTTATTAGTAAATAAAGTACTGTATTTAAGTACGTATGTTAGTCAGATGGGAACAATAAGTTTTTGGAGCTCAAAGCATGTTCTCTTATTCAGCATTATGGCCTATTTGATTAAGGTGTATCTTGAATTAATTAATGCATGATTTTAGTAAAAAACACTTAAAAATAATAAAAACTACAAGTTTGTGGGATGATGGGCCCAAAGAAATAATGGGGGGGTGGGGGTGGGGGGCACACAGTCAATTTTCCTGTCTTTGCTCAGGGAAATGTCAGGTTTCTGTGCAGGTATAGGCAGAGAGATGACCAATATGCCCATCCCTTAAAGGGAAGCTGTGTGGAAAACTAAATAAATCATCAAGGTATATATAGCAACACCTAAGAACAAGTATTATTTCTAGTTGAAGATAAACACAAGCAAAACAAACAAACAAAAAAAGGTGCAATACTGCATGTTTTTTGGTGCATTCTTAAGATGTAAATGAAAATGTTTATTGTATGCATCCAAAGCAGAGCTGATTTTTTTTGCAGTTATGATTTGAAGTCTGTAGAAACTTTGGTCCTTCCCCCGAGTCACCCTGAAAAAACTTAACCAGTTGATTTAATAGTTGCTTAGTGCCTTTATCCTGTACCCACAGTGAACTGTAGAAAGTGCCTCCATTAACACAGCTGAGAAGTTATGTAACAAAGAAAGGAAGGGTTGGGGCACAGATATTTTGCTTTTTCTTTCTCCATCCTCACTGTCTCACTTCGCCACTGTGAGAAGACCACACCATCCTGAACCTTGGAGAGGAGAGATCCAAGAGTGTACTTTTTCTATGGCCATCCACTGGACTGAGTCCCTTTGGCAGCCTGATGTGGCATGTAAGCTGGGACCTGAGACCCATCTGTGAACTGGACATGAACTTGGTTTTTTCCTCTTCTCCACCAGAAGCCAAGATAAACTTTTTGGGAATTTGTTTTCTATCAAGGGCCACTCTGGACGTTCAGGGTTTCCTCTGGTCCAGTGTAGTGTTTCTTGCATATGTTCATGTCTCCTCTGTAGCAACAGGACTTCGCAGACCCCTGACAGTCTGATCTTTCTAGGCATCAGTGTGACTATGGGAGCACTCAGTTCATATTAACTTTTCCTAGGCCCTCCCTCCTGGTCCACTCCCTTCAGATATTTCCTATGATGCTCCTCTGATCTTCCCACCTGGCAGTCACTTCACAGGCTGAGCATCTCACTTCTACTGCTCCAGACACCCAGCCCAGAGAACAGCTGGGACCCTCTGCCTGCCTAGCTGAAAGAAAGCCGCATAATACAGGCCACTGGGGCCCAGCAGCTGTCCACCAATGGAGAGGCACTCACTGCCTTTTTAAGGACACCGAGTGGGGATCTTCTGCACTTAGGATGTGGCTGCCTATTGCTGACCACCTTACATTCCTCCCTGCTTCTTCTGGAAATCTTCCCTATTATTCCCGTCCTTTCCCCTACTCTGTCCTAGAGCTAACAGTGAGGCAATAAACAAAGAAAGTAAAGTAACAAACACCCAGGCTGGCTGACTCAGTTGAAAGAAAGAACATGGATATTTTATTTTCCTGTGCTGCTTCTGTAAATCTGTAAGACGAATGTAACATCATGGAAGACAAGAAGCCAAGGACTGCACACAGATGACCACAGGGCATAAACCTTCCTCTGTGATGTTTCCTTCTCTTTTGAACCTTGACTCATCTTGGCTATTCCTTCCTACATGCTTAAAAGTCCCCAGTTGGGGAAAAATGCCAGCCTCTCCTAAATTTCCAGAATATCTTGATCTTTTATTTAGACTCTGAGGTCAGGACACACAGAGCTTGAAACGCTGCATTCTGTCAACAGCAATAATCCACTCGGTACTGTGGGATGGTTGGGTCAGAGGATCAGAAAATGGGACCAAGACTTGAGACAGACATTGGCTGCTTGGTATACCTCTCCTAGTTAGATGCTGGACTGGTGATTCTCCTGCATGTGTTACAGGAAAAAAGTGATGCATGCAGTCAGCCTGGGATTAGGGATGAGTTCTTATGAATTTGGGTGCTATGGGGAAAATGAATGCTGCTTATCCATCTGTATAGCTCACTGCAACCCAGTCAGTAAGAATGGAGTACAGGGACTCTCTGTGTAGCATAGGCATGCAAAGTTCCACAAAGCTCTTACCCCTTGCACTGTAATGTGCGGAAATGTTTTTGTAGACCTGAAGGTGCACTTAACAAAACTGCCTACTAAGGAATGACTGTCTTTTGTTTTACTGACTTATATTTATTTTATCATCAGGCTTTTTACCTTTTCATCCCATTCCTATGTATTGAGTTTTAACGGCTCATGTCCTGAACACTTGTTTTCTCCTGAAGGAGAAGGCTTCTGACATGCTGATAGCCATAGCTCAGCTCTTCCAGCATGTGGGGGCCCTAGTTCAATGGGGTGGCAGTGGAAGAGCTGGGCCACACCAGTGCTGTTAGCTATCCCAGAATCTCTGAGTGGTGAACTGCCCTCAAGGGATCTGAATTAGAGACACCAAAGACATCTAATTCCTCTGTCCTCAGATTTATAGAAGACAGACTGTCACCAGGACAGGTTTTTATTTTTGCATCTCCTCTTCCCCATCTGTGCACAGCCCTCCCTCACTCCCCCTTGAGAGTTGAGTTCCAATTATCAGTTAAAACAGTTCACTGGGAGTGTGTTAGCGGGTTAGCCTAGCCAAATCAAATGAACCAATAGCAAATACTTCTTCTGGAGTATGGCCAATGGACAGTCATTTCTCTAAAATAAAACCATGCAGTAGGTTTAGATTCCACTGTGGTGGAACCAAAGCACCGGTGACATCACAATCTTGACTCAATTGAGAGTTTGTTTAATACATGTAAATGATGAGAAACAGATTCCTTTAAGTAGAAATTTGGTTTAGTTCATAAAAGATCTTCTTCACATTGTGTATAATTATACATTTTTCAAATTACTTAACATCTGGTGAGTCAGTAAAAACAGATTTCCAACCCCCCCATTTAGTATAAAAGACCTCCAAACACATGCTTTTTAACAATTTACAATAGAATTTTCCTTGTTTGGTAGTTTAGATTGAACAGGAAAGAGAGAGAACATCAGCAGAAAGCCATTCTCCATTTTCTTTCAGGAAAGATGTATTCCTGGGAGTGGTGAGAATTGGTGGGTGGTAACCATCCGTAGTATAAAATTGTTAGAAAGAATGTAAACTGCCAAACAGCCATTTTATCTTTCCACTTTTTCAAAAAAGAATGAAGACTTTTGATCTTTATGTTTATTTCAAGATGACAAACAAACTAGTTTTTAAACCAGACACAACCCGAGTTGGCTCACTATCTCAGGAGGTGATTCATACCCACCGTGCGGTGTATCAGTACTCATATTTATATTATGGAATTTCAGGGTATATGCGAACATGTTCAGCATGACTCAGGTAAACCTTAGAAGTATGTACATTACCTACCATTTCTGTAAAGAGGTGAACAGGAGCCGAGTTAAACAAAACTGTTCCATTACCTGGGGTCACTGTGCAAACTCATGCGGGGTATAGGTATGAGTTGTAGAGGTCTTGGGGTCAAATGCCAGTCTCTGAGCTCAGGTAAAATGATCATGGGCTTTCCTGGGAAGTCTAGTGAGTGTGTAAGGGGTGAAGCCCTGCTGACCTCAGGACTATTAGCTTTAAAGAGATTAACCCCTTGTCACCATGATTTTCATTTAGGAGATAACCAGGAGTTTATGACACAAGACTTCAAAGAGTAGAGAAAACCTTTGTACCTTATCAGAGAGGAAGAAGAAATGGTATAGGGAAAGAAAACAAAAGAAGCCACAAAATCCTTTGCAAAATATCCCAGGTCCAAAGTTGTCTCTCCTCTAGACTTGCAGAAACACTTCTCCTCTTCAGTGCACTGTGTGATGCCACAACGCCAAGTAGTCAGCATGGGCTCTGGATGCCATGCCTCTAACAGTAAAGGTGAAGTTTTATCAAGGTTAAAAAGCAATGGAATAGTATTAATTTCAAGTGCACCATCAGGACAACAAACCATTGAAGCCTGAAAGGCACTCGTGTATTTCCTGAGTTTGCAGTTGCTTACCCCTTGAGTTGAGGATGTGCCTCACATTCATTCACCCACTGTGCACTCCCCTGCCCTCACTGTCGACTATGTCAGGTAGAGGACATTGAATGTTATGAACTGAGAACCTAACTGAAGTGCATAGTTTTCATCTATGCAATTTTACTTGCTTCTGTCACTTTATGATCTGTTCATATTTGGCATTAATTAAAGATAATTTTTAAGGATCTTATCAAGGCATATCTTGACTTTTTTGTCTCTTGTTTAACTGGCCTTTTGGGAACCCTTTTGTGTGGGGTTTCTTTAGATAACACGATGGAGATGGGCCTTGTTTTCTTTGAAACTCCTGAACTTCAATTTCTTCTGCACAGGGACATATACTGGGGTTGACAGTTTGGGTTCAGGTAGGATCCCAAGAAGACACCTTTGGAATTTGGCCTATGAAAGCTTTGGATTGAATTTTGAAAAGAAAAAAAGAAATGAGACTCAGGGGAATGAAGTAATTTATTATATTCACTTAAATTGTTGATTTGAAACTATAATTTTCATTCATAGTTTAAGCTTTTCAGGAAGGATAACTGTGTGTGTGTGTGTGTGTGTGTGTGTGTGTGTGTGTGTGTGTGTGTGTGTGAGAGAGAGAGAGAGGTGAGACAGCACTGTAGTCTGGCATCATATACCTTGTTGGTTACAATATGGTGTTAGGAGTGATTTTGATGTGGAAAAACAAAGTGATTTGTAGCTGATCTTTACATTGATTTTTTCCAACGTAGTTCTATGTGTGGTTAACACGTTTTTCTTCTTTTTAATGACTTGATGTATTTCCTTTTGATTCCGGCTGAGATTTAGAAGTTCTCTTTTCTTCCTTGTGAATATCATATTTTATACAAGCTTTTTTATGTCAGAGAAAACAGGTTTACATGCTTTATGACAGGTTTTTGTTATATGCCAAGTGCTTTGGGTGGCTGGGCAGGTGTGTCCTCATAGAATTGTATTGCATTGTGTTGGGTTCATATTGTAAGATTTGAAGATAAATCATGCTTTTGCTGTAGAAGTTACTACTGAAAATAAACCATGAGGCTGGGCAGGCTGCCCATGAATTTTCTGTTGTGGTCAGAAAATGGGCCAGGCTGAGTTCTGACAGTCTAGGGTAAGAGAGCTAGAGCCACACCAATAGCAGTGGGCAGATGAGCCAAGACATTCACAACCCTGAGTGTTTCTCAAAGCACAGCCTTGCAATGGTCTTGTTGAAGCAGAAGCAGACAGATTCAGGTAGTTGCAAGGATAGGGCTATAACTGAGAGCTTTATCATTTACAGAGCTTCAAAAAGAAGTCAAGTCACTTTTAAGGGAGGCCAACCAGAGGAGTCAAGAACAGAGCTGATATAATCTGATCCCAGTCACTTTGCCATTGGGTAGGGAAAGCTGGCTGCTGCATCCTGTCTTGCAGTTGGTGTAGACCTGTCAAAGCCCTCCACCAGGCTTGTGTGTGAAGGGAAGGCTAACCCTCAAGCTAGGCAAAGTGTGCCCCTTCGTAAAGTCCTATTGCAGACCTAGGACAGCGTGGTCGTGCTGCAGGACTGGAGAGCAGCCCTTCGAACCAGCTTAAATCCAAGTAATTGAAAATATCCTATTTAACTAATTTAATCTAATATACTGTCAATTTTAAGATGCACATTTGCTTGACATACTTATAAGAAAAAGAGAACATTGATAGCTATGGCTCAGTATTGCATTGATTCATCCCAATTTTAGGAATGAAAAAAATAACAGGGATCTTAGAATTATTGATGAACTACAGTGATTTTAATGTTTGTCCCCCTTTGTTTCATGGTATGATAATAAGTTTGAGTTCTAAACCCATTAAATTTGGCAGTTTCCTGCAGACCTGAAATCTGGCTACAACATTTAGGCCTGCTTTTAACTATTTTTTTTATCCCACAGTGCTTTTGCTCAGCCCTGCCTTTATCTTAGGCTTTGTGGGAATATGTTTTAGAGCTCCTTGTGGAGATCATTTACCCAGTAAAGACCTCTGATTTAATCTGCCAAGGAAAGAAATTTGCTCTTGCTGCTCCCTCCCTTGCCCCTTAACAACACTCCTATTCAGAATCTTTAGCAGCCCTTGGCTTTTATCAAGTTAAAGGCAATCTGACACTCCATTCCAACTGAGCTGCTGATAGCAACACCTCCAGTATGTATAGCTCTATTTGCAGTTTTCAGATCACTTCCACATTAATTATATTGCTTTATTCTACTTTGTGAATTAGGTAGTGCTGATATTGCTGTCCTTGTTTTATAGTCTGAGGGACCTGACCAAGGTCACTGGGTGGAGGGAGCAGGCCTAGGCTTATTGATGATTTCATGGTAGGAACTCTGAGTGTTTATTGAATTGATGGAATGCTGGAACATGTAATGTCACTTGTTAAAGAGAGATTAGTGACTTTGTGTAGGGGCAAAGGCTCTCTGAGCCTTCGAATCACTCATTTCTAAAATGGAAATATAATATCACACAGGGTCTTGTGAATTAAATGGAATAATATAATTCCCTCTTCATTAACAAGCAAAATGTTTAAATAGCACTAACGTGTTTGGGAAATTCTAGTGTGTTCTATAAATATGAGATATGAATAGATATGTTAGTAAGTATAATGAAGAAAGGGGGAGCAGGGGGAGGAGGCCTCTGGATAACTCCTCCTCAGAGAAGGAGCTGCACTTTAAAAGAAGACTCCAGATGTACAGAGCAGTGGTTAGACATTTATATAACTTTTGAAGTGACCACCCCCATAAATCCAGCACCCACCTGGCCCTGGACCATACGTAGTTATTACAATATTATTGACTATATTTTCTGTGAAGTAGTTAATTTTTATGTCTGTGACTCTTCTGTCTACCAATTTGTACTTCTTAATCCTCTCCCCTTTTTTTACCCACTCCCCACCTTCAACCTCTGTCCCACCTGGCAACCATCAAAATGTTCTCTGGATCTATGAGTCTGTTTCTGTTTTGGTTGCTCATTTATTTTGTTTTTTAGATTCCACATATAAGTGAAATCATATGGCATTTGTCTTTCTGTATCTGAGACTTATTTCACTAAGCACAGTACCTTCTAGGTCCATCCTTCTTGTTGCTGTTGGTAAGATCCATTCTTTTTTTATGGCTGAGCCATATTCCACTATACATATGCCCAAAACTAACATAATATTGTATGTCAACTGTAACTCAAAAAATAAAAAGTTATTTTTAAAAAAGAAGACTCCAGGAGGATCAGATGTTTAACTCAAAGATTAATTGTATGATGGCAAAACTTGAAGACTTGGGCAGAGATGTCTTCATCAGGAATCTTCAGTACATCCAGCATCTAATACCAGGCATGCAGCTGCCTCACAGAATACAGAGCCACTATTTCTAGTTTGTTTTTCCCTTACCCTGAGATGTACTACTATTTCACATCTCCACACTCCGAATGTCAAGGGTAAACTCTGCCTTGCAATACACTGAGGAACCAGAGGTATCTTTAATAATTTACATCACTTCTGATTACCTCATTTCTTCCATGTGCACAATATTGTGTGATTTGATTTTTTCTTTCCACCTGTGAAAATTAAGAAATAAAACAAGATGTTGTTTGCAGAGTTTTCTCATATGCTTCTCTGAGAGACATTATGTAAATATAAAAACCTATTTTAAACTTTCTTTGCTAAAAATAAAATAACCCTCACAAGCATACATGAGTCAATACAGTCTTTTTTTTCCCTAGCATATGCTACAAAGATGCTTATAAAAATTATGCTGTGATACATCTATAGTGATCCAGGTCTTCTTTCTTAAAACTGACTGGATAAAGTAGCCATGATTTAAATGGCAGTAAGATTTTTAATATGCTTTCTTAAGGTATTTAACTGTAAGTAAGAAGTTGAGTATCTGTTAGAATCTTTGATTCACAAAACATTTTTCTAGAGAATAACATTCAGGGGCTAGATTGAGTTCTCAAACCTACTAATGATTTTTGAGGATGGACTTTACGTGGTATGTTATGTTAGCTGTAATAGATAATGTTTTCAATGTTGTTTCAGATGCTAAGCATTAAATGTATTTTAGGAATGTTTCCAGAGGAACTAATTCCATTTGAAATTTACTTTTTCAAAATTGAAATCAGAGGTTGATCAATGAGTTAGAGGCTTAAGCTCAGGATAATTATGTTTTGAGCTCAGGCCAAATGCAACTTTTATTAAAAATACTATTCCTCAATATATTAAGTTAAAAGTATTTAGAAATCCAAGATACTTTAATTATTTTTACAGTGATTCTTCTTTGCATTTCATACTATCATTATCTTAGTGTTTTAGAAAGGGAGTAATTTTGTTTTAAGTGAGTTTCTGAGACCAAGATTCATCCTATTAGATGTTCCCTCTTCATTAACAAGCAAAATGTTTTTTACTCTTAGAAAAAGTTGTGTATATGTCAGTCCTAAAAGAATAGACGCCCAGCTCAGTTTTTGAAAGATCACAGGATATTGGCTTATTTTTGCTTTTTTTAGTTTGTAACACTTTTATTAAGAGGAGACAATTGTACTTGAAAAAAATTTTAAAAGACATATATGGGGTGAAATGATTTGTGTCTTGAGAAATAGAGGGTTTTTATGCAGAGCATGGCATTGGTGATGTGTACTGCAGAAACAGGAATGCAATTCTCATGGGAATTTTAGGTGAAGAAAAAGTTGTATGGACAGAAATATTGATATGTAAAATAAAATTTAGAGTACTGTCAATAATAAAAAAGAATGAATGGATATCAGCATTCCTAAACTGTATACAATGGGGAACTGAAGTATCAAAGGAAACACATTAAGGATCATATATAATAGACAAAATCTCTTAAATTTTCTTACTGCCTTTCTCCATCAATGTGTACAGGACCTTTCTAGTTAGGATGGTATGGCTTTCTTTTAAGTTTCCAGAGGATGAAGATCATATTTGTTGGTATTTAGAGAATAATGCTTATCCTTAGTGGATAAAGATGAGTACTCAAAACATCATTTAATCACAATGTTGGTAATTCACAAAATAATTGAACTTTCTAACACAATGATGCACGTTGCAAGAATTTCAAGTGGTACATTAGAG